TACTTAGTCCATTGTCATCATGATGGGAAGCATGACAGTACACAGGCAGACATGGTACTGGAAAAGGAGCTGAGAGCTTTACATCTGGATCTGAAGGTGGCAGGAAGAAACCGAGATACACTTCCTCCAACAAGACCATAGCTCCTAATAGTACAACTTCCTATGAGCCTATGGGGCCATATTCTTTCAAACCACCATCTTCCGTTTCCAGGCCCCTATAAGCTTGTAGCCATATCATAATGCAGAAATGCATTAAGTCCAATTTTAAAAGTCCCCATAGTCTATAATAGTCTAAATCCTGTAAAAGTCCAAAGTCTTTACTGAGACTCATGCAGTCTCTTAACTGTAACCCCCTGTAAAATCAAAATGAAAAGAAGATCATATACTTCCAACATAAAATGACACAGGCTACACACTATCATTCCAAATGGATAGAACGGGAGAAGCGTGAGAAAATACTGAACCAAACAAAGCAAGACCAAACACTAGCTGGGCAAACTCCAAACTCTGCATCTCTATGTCTTATGTTAAAGCACTCCAGATTTCCAGCTCTTTTCAGCTTTACTGATTGCAGCACACTTCTTTCCTTTGGGCTGGTTCCACTCCCTGTTAGCAGCTTTCCATGGCAGGTATCCCACAACTCTGGCACCTCCAACATTTTAGGGTCCCCAAGACAATCAAGGCTTCTCAGCTTCACACAATGGTCTCTCTGGGCCACCATCCAGGGACACTCCTGACACACATCTGGCCTCCAGTGGCTTTCCTTAGTCATGGGAAGAGATTCCATAAGCCCTTTCTTTCTTCTCTTCTTGACTCTAGAGACAGCCATGTGGTTCTGGAGCTGTCCAGCTCTGCTGCTGCTGCGGCCAGATCTCTGCTCCTCACTCCATTACATCTCCACCAACCATGGTTTCCTTCACTGCCTGAGCATGGCTGTCCTCAAACTCATGCTGTGGATCAGGCTGTCCATGAATTGAGGATCTGCCTGCCTCTGCCTTCCTAGTGCTGGGATTTAGGCGCTTACCAGCTTACCACCACACCTGGCTCTAAGCTTTCTTTAATTCCTTTTCACAAGTTGGAAGCTTAACGGGTGGGATCTTGTCCTGAGGTCACCACTCCCTATAACTTTAGATTATTCTCTAATCTGTTTATCTCCTTTAGCACAGACCTTAGCTCCATTTCACTTCCTGACGCCCCTTTTCTTCTCAGGTTGTACATTTTGTGTTTTCCTTGCTCAGCTTGTTCCTTTTCGCTATAAATCTGCATAAGAGTGAACACTAATCACCACACAGAGCCAATACTAGGCTGATTTGATATTTCCTCGGCTAATGCAATTAATCCAAAAATTCTTCAATTTACCCTCAGGCAGATATTTTTGGACAAGGACAGAAAACAGCCACATTCTTCACCAAAATGTCACAAGATTAATACCGCATATTAATCTTCTTCTCTAAAACCTCTTGAGCCAGTCCTCCACAGTTCAGATCACCCTCAGCACCACTGTCTTCCATGTTCCTACTAGGATGGGCCATTAAGCCCCACTTAAAGCACTCAACTGCTTTTCTAATCCAAGGCCCCAAAGCCCACATTCCTCCCAACAAAAGCATGGTCAGGCTTTTCATAGCAATACCCTAGTTCCTAGTATCAGCTTTACCTGAGTTGGAGTTTTTGTTGCCGTGAAGAGACACCATGACCATCAACACTCTTACTAAACACACACACACACACACACACACACACACACACACACACACTTAATTTGGGCTGACATAGTTTGGAGGCTTAGTAGGCAGGCATGGTGCTGAAGGGGTAGCTGGGAGTTTTACATCTGGATCCGAAGGCAGCAGGAGGAGACTGAGACACACTTTCTCTAACAACACCACACCTACTTCAATAAGGCCAGACCTCTTAATAGTGCTATTTTCTTTCAAACCACCATAGCCAGGGTATTCTTCAGTCTGTACTGAAGTCACATCATTGCTGAATTGTGGAAGACTTGTATTTCTTTCTGTAGATTTTGACATATTTAGTTTTTTTAAGTTATTTTTATCATGGAGAAATAGGTATGACATTTACCATTTTGATCATTTTTGGGTGTCAGTTAAGTTACTTTAAATGTATTCCCTTGATTGCCTTCCATCTGTAGAATTTTCTTCAATTTCCCAAACTGAAACTCATACCAGTTAAACAGTATTTCCCCATTTTCCTGCCCAGCTCCTAGAAACCTGTCTTTACTTACCTCTGAGTTTGACTTCTCATGTGCTCATGTAAGTGGAATCATACAGTGTTTGTTCTTTTGTGAAGGGCATATTTAACTGAAATAATCTTCAAGGTTCATTCATCCATGTTGTAGCATCTGTAAAAATTTTCTTAAGGCTTAATTTCCTAAATATTTCCTATTCTGTGTGTTCATACATGCATGCAGTTGTTGATATATTTATCCATTAATGTTCTCTTGAATTCCATCCACCTTTTGACTGTTATGACTAATACTTTTGTGACATGAGTTACAGACACCAATTCCAGTCTTGCTGGTCATTGTCTTTCTGTTGCTGTGAAGAGACACCATGACCATGGCAGCTCTTATAAAGGAAGCATTTAAATTGGAGTAGATTACAGTTCAGAGGTTTAGAGGTCTATTATGATGGTAGGACATGGTGTTGTGTAGGCAGACTGTGCTGGAGAAGGAGCTGAGAATACTACATCTTGATGTACAGGCAACAGGAAGTGAACTGAGACACAGGGCCTGGCTTGATCATATGAGACCTCAAAGCCTTCCTTCACAGTGACACATGTCCTCCAACAAGGCCATACCTACTCCAGCAAAGCCTAATTGTACCATTCCCTGTGAGTTTATGGGGACAATTACATTCAAACTACTACAGTCATCTTGTTGATTTTAACTCATTACATTTTGCCCTTGTTCCTTGTTTTTAAATAATTAATCTGCAAATCAGAAAGATTTTACCTCTAACTTTGTCCAAATCTCTTTTTTATTTTAATCTTATTTTATGTATATGAGTGTTTTGCCTGCATGTATGTCGTACACCATGTGTGTGCCTGGTACCCACAGAGACCAGAAGAGGGTATTGAATCCTCTAAAACTAGAATTAAGAATGGTTGGAACCCACCATGTAGGTGCTTGGAGTTGAGCCTAGGTCCTCTGGAAGTGCCCTCTAGGCCACCTATGTAGTTGCTCAAATCCTTTCTTGATACCGAGGATGAATTTCTTATTGATCAGCAGTTATAATTATACAACATGGCCATTCCCCTAGTCCCAGCCTTTAAAAGAGACGTACGTAAACAGAGACTGTGTAAAAGCTCTGTTCCTTCAGACCACCTGCTTGACTGGGTCAAAGTGAGAAGCTTGAGGTTCATCTGCTGCTCATTTGTTACCTGCCTATGTGGGGGCCACTAACACGACATAACCAATATTAAGATCTGGGTCTAGTGAGCTGAGTAGGTTGAATCCCTTTACTCCACAGATAACTGTGGAGCTTGTTCCTGGGAAAAGCATCCGGTGCTTTGGGGAAACAAAAAATAAGTTAAATCACATACTCTTTCAAGATGATATAGAGTACAAAACACTGGAGGAGCTTCCTACTGGGGGTCTTTACACAAGGATTTAGCCATAGCTGTAAAAAAATAATAATAAAATAAAACCAATAAAATCCTACATCAGTGTCAGATAAAGAGGCTTACAAAATCCATGAAAAAGCAACACGTCCTCCGAGCTTAGATTTTAGTATCAGTAGGCTTTACTCAAAGCTTCACGGGCAGACTGAGACTCTTTGCATGGGCTTTGAAGGTGCTTCACTCTGGCCTTACTGTGGCTAATAAAAAAACACCAGGAAAGCAGAAAGTACTCCTGCTCTTGACAGTATAAAATTCTTATTATTTTTAGAGAATAGTAACCATGCATTTATGAAGTTCTTTGTCAGGGCAATTTAGTTAATAGCTATGTAAATGACTACTTCTTTCATCGTGTAGGTGGATTGCTCCATGTACACTTTCTGAGAAAGAATGTAAGTGCTAGAAACTGTTGCCTCTGCAGATGGAAAGAAGCAAAAGTGAAGGCTGGGATGCTGTACCTTTGTTACTAGGTGTTGGGATAAGACAGAAAACAGTACATAGTAGTCTGCTCAGTTTACTGAGTCTGATTTCTAACACATCAACTCACCGACCATGGAGGGCGTGGGATACAGTGTCTCTGTTGTGTTTCGCTCATGAAAAAAATCATCAACTAGAGTGGGATGGGAGGGTGCTGCAGTTCATATTATAGCCATAAGTTCCCCTGCATGGGGACAGCATCTATAAGATACATAGTGGCAGTTTAAAAGGCTGTCATTTTTCCAGCATAAAAACAGGCAGTGTCAAAGCTCTTTCGGTTCTAGCTGCCTCCTTTGAGCCACAAGACAGCTTTTCTCCTCGCAGAGGGTGTAAGCCTGGGCTCGGGGAAGAAGTCATGAGTGCCCCACCATAAACGCCTGCCTGATGAATGGTCTACACCTTTGACCAATGATCTCCCTTGAGATCATCCTACCCACCTGTGCTTTAACCTCACATTCTCGTTCAGATTCCCAACTGTGACACCGATTGCATTCAGATTCTTGGTGATGGGTCCTGAGCTTCCCACCAGCTTGTCCTCCTAGCCTCCCTGCCTACCTGCTTTTGACTCCTACCAATGTCACTCTACCTTTCCCTCTCAGAGGAGCCAAGAGCCTTGCTGTATTTGCCACCCCACCCCCCCAGGAGATCCAGCTCGGATAGTTCCATCCTGCTGGCTGGCCCATAAGCTGAGCCTCCTAACACCGTCCCTGCAGGACTGTTGGAATACCTAGGTTTTGGTCAGCGAGCCCTTTCTGAGCTGTGCTCCAGCCATTGAGAACAGAGATGGGTGGTTGTGGCTGAGCAGCCCTGCAGGCACTGCAGACTCACTGTAAATGCCTCTTGCCATGTGTTCCTTTGTTTGCTCTGACATCTTTTTCCTTTCCTTCCAGGTGCAGAGTGAAGACAGTGTGCTTCTGTTTGTTATTGCCTGGACAATCACGGAAATTATCCGTTACTCCTTTTACACATTCAGTCTATTAAACCATTTGCCTTACATCATCAAATGGGCCAGGTAAAGAAGTGCATAAGCAAAGACTAACTTTGAAAGCATCCATCACTGTATTCTCCTCTCACCACCTGAGTATTGCCTCCAACTCCCCCAAACTCAAACTGAATGAGGTGGAGGGTCTTCACCAGAATGGTCTTGACTTTCATCTCTAGAAATAGTTCTGCCGTCTCTGTGCTTTACTTAGATTATTTTTATGGAAATCAGTTCTTTTCTGTTAAGTATTCAGTAGAGATTTAATATCTGGTTTTTGTCCTTATTCGATTTAGCTGATGAACTTGCCCCATTGTGGTGATTTCTGGTTCATGTCTACCTCTCCTAGTCTTGTTTTTTCAAGAAACTATGGTCATTTTTACTTAGTAGCAAACATTATGTGGTTTTCTCAGCTTATGAGTTTTATTTTGCTTTGATCATTTTAAGAATTCAATTGAAGAATTCAGCACAGTGATTCAAGCCTTTGTAATCCCAGAACTTGGGAGGCTGAGACAGGAGAATTGCCCCAAATTCTGGCCACAGTATGAGATCCTTGTCTCAATAACAATAACAAAATTCTGTTATGACTTTGGCAAAAGCCTGATGGCACATCTGTGTATCCAGTTACAGTTGTGTGCCTTACGGACTATGGGGTGAGGAGGACACAGCGAAAAGCTCCAGACTCACTTTGGAGCTGAGACTCCTCATTTCCTGGAAGGGAAACAGCTGTTGTTCAGTAATTACTTTAGGAACAACATCCAGTTTCCAACATTTCAGGTATATGAGCTTCTTTTATTATTTTCTGAAATAAATTATATTCAGGAAAAAGGGGAACTAACAGCTCCCCACCCACCTGCACCGCCACTGTGCCGGCTGTCTGTCTGTGGGGAAGGTTGTTGGCTGGGCCTTCGCTTTACTCTTGGAGAATTCTTTTTTTAATTATGCATACAGTGTTCTGGAATGGCACCAGATCTCATTATAGATGGCTGTGAGTTACCATGTGAGTGCTGGGAATGGAACCCAGGTCCTCTGGAAGAGCAGCCAGTGTTCTTAATCTCTTCAGCCCCTCTTGGAGAGTTCTTTGGCTCATTTTCCTCTGTGGTCTATGAACAACTCTTTACCACTACCCTGCCTAATGAGCTAGGTTGGCAACAAAGAATATGGCTTCTTTCTCAGCAGATTCTTGTGCCTAGAAGTTTTGTCCAGGTTAATCTTGAGCCATGAACAGGCACAGGTTTCTTAAATCAAAACTGACAATTTCCACAGGAATGCTGATGCCTTCGAATAGTTTGTAGGCCAATCCTGTGCTAGTAGTACCTGCCCTCTGAATTCTTTTTGTTTAATATGTATGAATGTTTTGCCTGCAGACATGTATGTGTGCACATGTATGTCTGATGCCTGCAGAAGTCAGAGGGTTTGGAGCTCTTGGAACTGTAATTATGGATAGCTATGAGCCACCATGTGGGTGCTAGGAATTGAACCCTGGTCCTCTGTAAGGGCAGTAAGTCCTCTTAACCACTGAGCCTCTCTCCAGCTCTTTTGAATTATTTTAAAACAGATAAAACTTTTTTTTGTTGTTTGTTTGTTTTGAGACAGGGTTTCTCTGTAGCAACTCACTTTGTAGTGAACTCACTTTGTAGACCAGGCTGGCCTCGAACTCATGGTGATCCTCCTTCCTCTGCCTCCCGAGTGCTGGGACTAAAGGCATGCACCACCACCACCCAGCCAGATAAAACTTTTTAAAGTGAAAATAATTGTACGAGCCTCTCATGCAGCAATAATTATAATTGTATGGGTTTATTTGTAAAATTAAAGGCTATTAGAAATTTAATGTTAAAATTAGTCAAGATTCTGTTTTCACAGTAGCATGTATAGGCATTTGGGAAACAGCAGAAAGTATGTGTGTAATGTGCTGTTTTCTTCAGCCCACATGCAGCTTGGTGTGCCCTAGGAATTCCTGGGTAGCTGTTCCATCTCCTTCCTCTGTGCCTCCGTGAGGAAGGCCCTTCGTTATGTCCTAATGCCCCTTTGTTGGTCTCAAGAGGCATGTTCTGAAGAAGCCAAGTTTTGAGGCTGGCTTAACACATTGACTTTGCTTTAGAACATTTAGAAACATGTACCTACAATGGGCTCTTTTCAAATTGCCTTGTAAAGGCTGAGTATAAACAGGTGATCAGGACATGCAGAGACAATGCTTTCTGAGAAGACAGTACTTCTAAACATGGCTTTGAGCCACACAGTGAGGCTTTGTTTTGTTGCAGGTACACGCTTTTCATCGTGCTGTACCCAATGGGGGTATCAGGAGAGTTGCTCACAATATACGCAGCTCTGCCCTTTGTCCGGCAGGCTGGCCTGTACTCCATCAGCTTACCTAACAAATACAACTTCTCCTTTGACTACTATGCATTCCTGATTCTGGTAATGATCTCCTACATTCCACGTAAGTATATTTATGCGCAGAAGTCAGCTCTGCAGTAACTAGAGTTACGTCTTTGCTTTATATCTAATATAAACCTCATTGATGGGAACACTTTGGTTTTCATTGATCACCAACTATTGATGAACCCTTGTTAGTGTGTGGGTTTGAAACACTGAAGAGGAGGCTAGGTCAACCCTGTATTAGGGAGAGTATTGAGGAGAAAGCAGAAAGCCACTGAAGGCCTTACCTTGCTTTATTCTCCTATCTCTTAAGAATTGTTTTATTATGGTTTGTGAAACATGTTGTAAAAGATGTTTGCTTTGCTCGCTATATCAAAACAGGCAGCTCTGCTTCATCTTCCGACCTTAGTAGCTGACTAGAAGAAACAAATAACAAAATGAAAACAAATGTCCTATTTTTCTACATTTCTCGTTTTCTTGTTGAGCACAAAACCCTCAGAATAGGACACAGTGTTCCCTTCAGTGTGGTTTCCAGTTATTCTAATAGAACCACTGATGACTTAGATGTACGGAAAATTCAATGTACCTCTGAGTACACAGGGACGGACCGGGAAGGGCACATCTGACAGTGTCATAGGGTCTTGTTGCTGATTACGAGGAGTGTTTTCCTCAGGTTCTGCTCAGTTGTAACTCCTCTGGTTGATTTCTGTATTCCAAAAAGGACCTGTTAGACTCAAGGACAACCCCAGCTAACTCATCTTCTCAATTAGCTATACTGTAGCCACTGTAACTCTGAATCTCCCTTAAATCCCACTAAGTTCACACAAGGATAGATTTTATTTCTTTAGCCTCCAGCACTATCTGAGTGAGTCATCCTAACTATGTTTGTGTCCCTCTGTGGAAAATTGCGTTTTACACATTGTGAGGAGGGGAAAAAACTCCATCCAGATTTCATCTGCACGTTTGTCTTGAAATTCTCGAACACAGTAATCCTGCTTTATGGTTTGGTTTCCCCTCTATTCATTCCCAACCCTCCCCTTTCGTGCTGGGTCCCTGGCAGCTAACAGCCATTTCTCTTCACATGGGAAAGGGCCTGGATGTTGAAACAAAAGACAAATCTAGAAGAGTAAAAATGTGCATTACGCAAATGCACGGTTTTTTCACTTTTCAACGTTTCCTTCCTGGAGCTTCGGTTTTTCAGCTCCAAAGCAGCAAGGAACAGCAGTGGATTTACTACTCTCAGAATAGCAACCCCATGGGCACCTCAGTTGTTTGTTTCTATTCTGATAAGCAGGAGATTTGCCCCACACTGTGTGACCAGGAAGAGCAGGGAAGGTGGCATGGACACCTCTGCAAGAACTTCCACACTGCTGGTGATCCAGGGTCCCCCTCAGGGTTCCTGCCAAAGTCCCACTGCTGGTAAGGCCTTCACCTAGGAGCAGTTCTCAAGGCGGCCTCACTCTTCTCTCCCTGGTGGCCAGCCTTGCCAAGCCTTCCTGATGACCTGCTGCTAGACTGACTGTCGGGATACTGGAGCCCTGGTGAAAACTACAGCCAGCACTGTGGGGTCCTCCATCTTGACCTTCAGGGACAGGGGAGCAAGCACAGACCTAAGGGCAGAACTCAGCTCTCATTCTCGTTCTTTTTTGAGGAGTGGGATTGCTGGGCCTTAGCACATCTCCTCTACAACTAGCCTGTGTCTACAGCCCTGAACTAGATTCACTGTCTTTACATTTATATGTTTACTTTTTTATTTATTAGGAGCACATGTTTGAAGTCAGAGGACAAAAGTGAAGAGTCAATTCTCTCTCCACATGACCAGGGTCACAGTCATGGTGTCAGTTCTCTGTCCATGTGGCCAGGGTCACAGTCATGGTGTCGGTTCTCTGTCCACGTGACCAGGGTCACAGTCATGGTGTTGGTTCTCTGTCCTTGTGACCAGGGTCACAGTCATGGTGTCAGTTCTCTGTCCTTGTGACCAGGGCCACAGTCATGGTGTCAGTTCTCTGTCCTTGTGACCAGGGTCACAGTCATGGTGTTGGTTCTCTGTCCACGTGACCAGGAT